GAACAAGCACAGTGAATCCAGTTTTGGGCCACTTCACTTGCAGGTCCTGTGTGAGGTAACCAGCTTCTTTCTCTGGGGTGAGGGAGTCTTTGGCACTGTTGCTTTTGCTGCTAGCCACACTGAAGCCAGTCCACAGGCACTACTGGCTCTCCAACTTCAAATCTCCAGGGAAATCCAGAGAGAAGTCTTGACAAACCTCATGCTATCCATAATCTTTCTATGCACTATTCATGACTCAGGAACCAAATGGGGTTGGATAAAATAGTTATCCTTGTCATTGAACTTCCTGTCTGAACTCACTTTCCAAAGTAAAGAGCTAAATAGGTTTGGTTAGTGAGGATGCTTGCTGCCATTTTATCTGGCCATTTTGTTCTTCCCAGGGCAGTGTGAGGACCGGTTGATGTACAGTGTGTGGAAGTCTGGACCTGAGCCAGGCAATATCCATCTAGAGGATAAGGATGTGGACAGGGAAGCCACACCACTTTGCAGCAAGAAAGGCAGAAAAACCAACTCTGACTTCACCAGCTGACCGTTCCATCGGATTCAGAGTTGCCTTGTCTACAGAAATAGGGCACTGATTAGATGAAAACACCATTTTCCTTCCTGCTTGCCGGCAGCTTACAAGCAGAATCGAGGGAGGGGATCCAACCCCCACCCAGCCAGAGCCCTGTGGTCCTGACGATCCAGAACATTACCATGGGAAGCCCTTTATCTTGCACAGCTAGCTGCTCAAACCCTTCCCTTGCATCCAGCACATTCACTGGGGTTGCCCTCGAAGGATTAATTAAAAGGACAAGTATCTTCCTAAAAAGCAGAAGAAACTTATAATGAATTTAAAGAGAGAAAAATCCTCATTTAAGCAACATGTTTTTTTTTTCCCATGAACCCAACCTGAGCACTCAGGAAAGTGCAAAACATGCATAATTGAGAAGCTTTTTAGATGAGCGACTTTTAAATTAATTGACTGTGATGAACAGACAGGGCCAGGGATCTCATTCGCCAGCCACCCTGGAGCCTGGGTTCCTGCCACAGCAGGGCTGGGTGCCTCTGCTTCTTGCTGGAGAGGTGGGAAGGGAGGACAGGGGTCCGTCTTGAGATCACAGCCTACCGGGAGTTCTTAGACCTGCCTTTGATTTAGGAAGCCAAAGGCATGCTAGGTGATAGAGGGGAGTGAGGGGCCACCCTCCTGTTTCATTCTGGTCCCTATATGGTGACAGGTGATTGGAAGCTTTAGCTCCATCTGATAGAAAGAGATGGAACTGATTCCCATGGCTCTATCACCTGCCCTATGCCCTATCTTGGGGGAGGGTTACCTTCCTGCTTGCCGGCAGCTTACAAGCAGAAGCGAGGGAGGGGATCCAACCTCCCACCCAGCCAGGGCTCTGTGGTCCTGACGATCCAGAATATTACCATTCTTCAGAGCCAGGAAGGAGGTACAGCCCTACCATGAGCCAGCTCAGCTGAGCATGGGCAGCCACTAGCCATGGGATTTCTGATTTCACCCTCCACTAGCTGCAGACTATGACAGACACTGGCCCAGCAAGGGCCAGGCCAGCCACAGGGGAAGGCTTGATGTAGGAGCCCCCTACACCCGATCTCAAAAACTCTTAAATACAAGTCACTTCTGTAGGAAAAAGACCCCCAAACCATCAACCTTTAAAAGAACAATCAAGCCTGCTTCAAAAGGTTATAGGGGATGGGCATGGTGGCACATGCCTGTAATTCTAGTGGCTTAGGAGGCTGAGGCAGGAGGATCACAAGTTCAAAGCCAGCCTCAGCACTTAGCAAGATCCTGTCTCAAAATAAAAAATAGAAAGGGCTGGGATGTGGCTCAGTAGTTAAGTGCTCCTGGGTTCAATCTTTGGTACCAAAAACCAAAGGGGGTGGGGCGCTATAGGACTGGAGTCACCTTGAAGAATCCATTTTGGGTGCTTTGCACCCAAGGATGCTATAAAAATAGTGACTAGAAAATCAAATTCCAAACTTTTAACTGCTGCCAGACTATCAGCTCTAGTTCTTAAAATTGAATCCAAAATGTTGCTGACATGTCTGAGATATGACTTTTTTTTTTTTTGATTTTAGTGAGATTCCTGTAATGCCCATCGATTGCTGGGTAATAAGTTGTACCTGTATGTCTCATTTACCTATGTAAAATTCACCGAACCATAAATCTACTATGGGAATTCAGTTTAGCATTCCTGTGACATTGAAAAACCATTGATCCTCGTGTACTCTAAGTGGCTGCATGTCAAGCCCATGTGCTCCAAGTGCCTGCGGGTCAAGCCTTTATAGCTGGGGTAACTCATTTTGTGGCTTCCTTAATGGTCGTGAGTTTTCATTTTATTGCATATCTATTATTTGGGTTGGGCTGTGATGAATGGTTTGTCTGCCTGGCTCAAAACAAGTCCAAGGAGACAGCGGTATCTAATTTGCTTTAAAATGATGATTATAAAGCTTTTCAAATAATCATCCAGGAATGAAGGGAGTAGATGCCACATTGCCCTGCCTGAGACATATGGCTGGAGGTGAGGGGATGATGTACCCCATTTTTAGGTTGACTTGTGATTATAATGACCTTCATTAGGGAATCCCGGGGAGGCCTTCTTTCATCCTAGGCAGTAGGGATGCTTCCGTTTCCCCCAGAGAAAAACCAGGAGCTTGCTGTGTGTTTCTAGATCCATCCCTGGGATGGGGCCTATGAAATAGAGGCTGTTGTACCAAGTAGGATGGTGCCCAAGCAGAGCCATTCTCTGCTTCATGATGCCATTTGGGGACATATAAATAGAGATAACTGGTGTATCCTCTAAATTCCTCAACTTCTGCCTGGGATTCCAGCCCTTCCTTCCTTCCTTCCTTCCTTCCTTCCTTCCTTCCTTCCGATTGAACCTGGGGTGCTTAACCACTGAGCCACACCTCCAACCACCAACCCCTCCCACCTTTTTAAAAAATTTTGAGACAGGGTATTTCTAAGTTACTTAGGGCCTCACTAAATTGCTGAGGTTGGCTTGGAGCTCGTGATCCTCCTGCCTTAGTTTCCCAAGCTGCTGAGATTGTAGGTATATGCCACTGTCCCTAGCTGGTGCTCCGGCTTCTATTACACAGTAACCTTTTCCTTTACTGCTCTTTTGGCAGAGGGGTCTGAGCCCAGAAATGAATTTCTGTGCCCAGAAAACATGCTACTTGTGTTCTGACTTGGACAACCGCTATTGTTGTCATCTGCCCTAATTGCACTACCCTATTGTCTATGTTTTTTTGGGGGGGTAGAATCATCAAGGATCTCAGTCAGGGGAAGTGGATGGAGAAAGTCATGCAGGAAGCCATTGCTGAGGACAGGAGGGAGGGCCCATTTAGTGATAGGCAGGTGGCTGCTTAGCAACTGGCTGTCAGAGAAAACAAAAGCATCCCTCCCCCAGTTTTGGGGTAGCATCTGTGGGGTATAAATTTCTGTGGAGAGTCCCACCGTGGTTGATTTGAAGCTATTGAGTATTCAACAGTTTGCTTGAAAAATTCCTGATAATTTTAACAATCAACTCTTATGAAACCAGGTCTAAGGAAACATTCTAAAATTTAGAGACTTCTTTTTGAGAATAAGCTCCTTGGTCCACAGAACAGATACCTTCCACAGCAGGAGAAAGTCTCCCAGTTATTCCCATCTTAATAGGAACTAATCGAAGCAGAATAAGTTTTACTAGAGGGCGGAGAGGAGGAAGATGGAGACCAAGCCTAGTCACATTGTATCAAGCAAAGCCCTGCAATTCAGGGTCAAACATTAGGCCCTTGGTACTAAGGATGCTGTGAACTGCAAAACTCTCCCTCCCCTCCACATCAATCACATGGGCATTTCCCTTCAGGAAGAATCATACTCGTTTCTCTCCCTTATGTCATCCAAGTACCTCTTCCATCTGCCACAAGAGCCCTTCTTGCCATTGAATCGCACAAACTCCTTCTCAGGCCTTGAGAATATTTGCAATAATGACAGCTCAAAGAAATATCAATGTGAAGCAGGAATACCTTTCTGAAAATGAAACTCCAGCTAAGGGCTGAGGGAGGATTCCAGATTCTGTGGCTCAGGGTACTCAGTGCCCTGGTGGGGGACCCACGCCCATGATCCCAAGGCCAGAGCCTGCAGATAGGCACTATGAGCCTGCAGGTCACACCCAAGGGCACATAATGAAAGGTGCTCACAAGACCTGCTCTAAATAGAGCCTGAGTGCCCTCAAATACAAAGGGGTTTCATCTCTTCATCTCTCTGGGGCTAAGAATGTCCCTTTATTCCCAGTTTGGGCCCAGCACCACCCTTCCCTTCCTTGCTGTCTGGGGATAACTCTTGCAGCTCATAGCTCTGGGATGTCCCAGCTCTGCCTATGTCCCAGTAGTTAACATGATGTAATCTCTTGGAAGCTCACCTCAGGCAAAGTCACAGGTCCTTGAGATAGCCCATCCTCACACAGGTGTTAAGCATAAGGGTCCCTGTACATGGGCCACCCAGATACTTCCTCCACAGCCACAAGAGCACCTATTTTCCATGTTTCTCCAGGGATCCTGTGCCTTTCTTCAACTTGGACCTTTACTCTCTATTGTCCTTGGGTGGTGACTGTTTCCTGGCCCTGCTTGGCCAGGCCTCCAGCTCTCCTGCAGGATTTTCCTCCAGGCATTGATCCCCAGTAGGGCCAGGCTTCAGCCCAAAGATAGACCTGACATTTGTTCCCTCCATGTGTAGTCACAGAATTCCCCTCACAGCTCTGCTTCAGTCACACTCAGTGAGAAAAACCGTTACCCAAAAGGAACAGGGTGAGCCCACTCTGTTTTCACCCATTCACCTTTAATCCTTTTCTTATAGCTCAGGCTTGTTGCAAAACAAACTCAACACTTCCACCACTCAAAGAAGCCCACTGGGGAGACAATGGAACAGACTCCAAGCCCATCACCACGGTGAGGCAGGAGCATTTGCAGACATGAGCCCCTGTGCCCATGGGACCCCATAGGGGGGCCTGACTTACGGAAGGCTGTGTAGAACTCGTGTAGGCTCAGGGAGCTGTCGCTGTTGTAGTCGTCAAATCGGAGGAGGTCTCCTGGCGTACACCCCAGAAAGTCCCCTTCTAGGTTCTGCTCCTTCAACATGTGCTGTGGGGTGAGGAGGGTAAAAGGTCAGAGCCATATTGAGTTCAGTGTCAAGGACATGGTTGGAAAGTGGCTCAGGCCCAGTGGGGGCTTTGGGAAGCTCAATGGGCCTGTGAAACACCCGAAGCTCTTTGGTTTTGTCTTGTCTGATCCTCTCATTTTATAGATGAGGAAACTGAGGCAGAGAGAGACAGAGAGAGGGAGAGAGAGAGAGAGAGAGAGAGAGAGAGAGAGAGAGAGAGAGAGAGAGAGAGAGAGACTTTCCCAAGGTCACAAAGTGTTTGGGACAGAGTCTGTACTAGAGCTCATGTCTGTCCTCTCCCTGTCTGGGCAGACAGACCCCCAGCAGTGCAAGATGGGAAGGTCTTTTTGGCCATTTGGCTTACCTCCTTGTGCTATTGTTGGGGCAAAGAGAAGAGAAGGGGTTTAGGAACCCATCAAAGAGTAGCTGACCTTGGTGTGGTTCCCCTGGCTCCCGTAGCACAAAGCTGATGGTTGTATTTCATCGCTGCACCCTCAGTCCTACCACTTCCAGAGGAGCACCTCCTAGCTGTGGCACCCCCAGAAAGGGGTAGCTACATTCTACTGACCAGGCCCGAGCCGCATTCTACTGGTGGGCCCTCATGGACTCCTTTTCTGATCATGGTCTAGGCTGCAGGAGGCAGACCCCCTCCTCCCCAAGCATGGCCAGCCATGCCAAAAGGTAGCTTTGGGTAGAGGTTTCAGGCCTCCCCACTCAGCTGGAGTTGGAGCACAGGAGAATACTCAGAAGGAAATCTCAGAACAGAGGAAATGATTTTATTTTATTTTGAAGGGGAGAGGAAGGCAAAGATGTTTTCTCTTTGCTTAACATTCTCAGCTTGCCCTGTTATATTAAAGGCAATTTAATGTGATAATGTTAAAAAAATGACCCCTTACCTAGCAAGGGAGAGAATTCGATAAAAGGGAGATCAACCATAACGGCTGAGATCAATCTTTCGAAGATGAAAATTTCCCTTTGTCTATTTCTGCATTGGAAATTGATTAACTTTTCATAGGACCGACAAGTTTTTTTCCCCCTGTGCCTTTGATTCGGCGTCAAGGGAAAGCCCACCTTAGCTGGGCTTTGCTTGGCAGATTTATGGAATGGACTTTAAATATATTAAATTTTAAAGAGGAAATCATAGTCAAATTACCATGCTTATTAATGGCTTCAGATGCCTCATGCCATGTCTCTGCTAGATTAGAACAACATTCTCAAGGAGGTTCTGTCTACCAGGGAGCTACCTGGGAGCTGCATGGAGCTGGGTGCCAAGTGCCTCTGTCCAAGGCAAGCCGATGTCACCTGCCCTTGTCACTCCCTGCACAGCCTGTACTGTAGGGAACCACCAGGTGGTTCTTCCTGCAGGTAGCTGTAACTAACAGGACCTGGGCTTTTCTAGAGCAGCTCAGGTCACCTATGGGACACTGGCATTGCCCTTTAGGGTCTTAGCCAGAGCAGGGGCCAAGTGCTGACTGAGGTGAAGATTTGCTGGTTCTCTGGAGGCCATGGGCAGCAGGCCTCTTGGGATGCACAGGGTTGCATGTGCTGTGGGTGTAGTGTGGGTGAGCAGAGCAGAGTCATCTGAGATTCCCAAGGTGTGCTCAGGAAGCAGGCTCGGGCCTGGCTGGAACAGAAGGCCTGAGAGCAAGGAGCCTGCGACTCCAGGCTTGAGTCATTGATTCTCACTTGGGTTTTGCAAGTGCTTGCTTTTCCTGCTGACCTTGAGAGGACCATATGGAGCCTCCTGGTGGGAGACACCTGGCGCTGTGGGGAGGGCAGTTGAATGTGTAGCAACATTCCTGGGTTGCACCTGAGTTCCTTCATGTTCAGACAGTGATCGCAACTAGGGCAAGCTGCTTGATTTGTTAGCATCTCAGTTTCCTCATCTGAAAATATCTGTGAAGTGGGATGACAGGCATCTCTACCTTATAGCAGAGCATGGCTGAAAGATCAAGGAGGAAATAACAAAGACCACGATGATGGCCACTGTTGTCTGTTGTGAACACCCATGTGCCAGGCACTAAGCTAAGCATATCTTTAATCCTATGATGACCCTTTGAGGCTCACAGATGAGAAATGGAGGCCCAGTGCAGTGAGGCCATCCCCTAAGACCCACCAGCTCCTATACATTGGAAGCAGCCCTAGACCTCAGCTTGGCTCTGAAGTTCGTACTTTCAGCCACTGTCCTACATTGCAAGGGACTTGCCCATGCTTACTAGCCACAGGCAAAGGGCCTGGCTCAGTGCCAAGCCAAAGTACTCCCCTCCTCCGTCCTTCACAGTGACCCCCTCACTACCTTGATGAGGTCACTGTACCAAGGTTAAGATTTCTCTGGCATAAATATGGTGACACATCCTTGTCATCTCTGCTCTGGTGGCCACTATAGTTCTCTGAGGAAGAGCTGCCCCCATCCACTCAAGGCACCAGGATGCTGACCTCACTTTCTTGCTTATTTTTGCACCTGGCTGTGGGCCTCCTGGGCCCCAGGCTCTTAGAAGCAAACCAGCAGAGCAGAAGCAGGAATGCAGACTCCTGGGCCCAGGACAGCCTTTCTGCATGAGGACCCCCACCCTGGCCCCAGGGAACGAGGTCAGTCTTTCTTTGCTTTTTGAGCTGCAGATGCTGACTACTCTCACAGCAGCTTGTCGCTGGACCAAGGGGCAACTCTGGGGAGGGACACAAGCCACAGGTTCAATGCAAGTGCTTTTCCAGACAAGTGTTTTTGGGGTGGACTCAGGGCTTCCTGCAAGTAAGAAAGCTGGGGTTTGGGCTGCTGATATTTGGCCACCAAAGAATAGTGTTGTCACCGGGCAGAGGACTTGGGACCCTCCAGGACAGAGCTCCAGAGGTGTTTTCTGGAAACCAAGCACTGCTTCCTTTTGATATTTCTGCTAAGGAAAGCAAAGGACTCAAGGAGGACAAGTTTGGTTTCCTAATTAAAACATCAGCCACCAGCCCCGCGGCAGGAGAGTTTTGCCTGCTGCCAGGCAGGGTGTCACAGTGTGTTTGTAAACAGTGGCTGAAGGCGGCTGGTGGGAAATGAATATAACTTTGTTTGTAAGATGTTCTCAGAGGTGTTGATCACAGACTCTGAGATTCCCGGAAGGGTGGCAGAGTGGCCTCCTGGGGACTCTGTGACAGAGACAGTTGCAACCCACTGTCCTCCCATGATCTCCGTGTCTCTTCTCTGTAGGTGCTGAACGAAAAACTGGATTCCTTTATAACTTGTTTTTCACTGAACGCTGTACCCACCTGAGCCAGTTCAGAGCTGCTGAGGTGGCCGTTCCCATCGGCATCCAAGTCCTTAAACAGAGATTCCACCAGGAGACGCTTTTGGGAAGCAGGGTCCTGCCTGTTTTCCACTTCGTGGAGTGGCTGCTGGTGAGTCTGGAGCGCCAGAAGGACATTCTTAAGGCGGGCATAGCCGGCCATGGTGCATGTGTCGCCTGGAAGAGAAGACGGGGTTGTTACAGCAAGATGTGTCCTTCGATGAGAGAACATTTTCTCCATCATGCTACTCACAGTGGGTCACCAGGCCTTTACTGTGCAGCAAATTGTGCAACTGTAGTAGATGGGACTTGTCTGTCTGTCCACCCATCCAAACTACAAATATTTGTATTTAATAAATGCTGCGTGTGATGCAAATGCCGGAGGGAGCCTGTCTATCCGTCCCATGAATATTTCTTGAGTGCCTACTATAGAGAGCGAGTGCCAGACGGAACAGGAAAATTCTTTCTGCAGAATTTACAGCGGCAGCCCCACAGCAGCTTTAGGAAAGCCGGCCCCCGATTCCATTTGTAATAGCTCACTTTTGTCTTAATCCTACCTTACAGGCTGCTTTTGCATACTTGGCCTCATAGATTAGGGAGTCTTAGTTAACAGGACTAATAAGCCCTGCTTAAGGTAATTAGGTACACTCCCAGAGCTGGATTACTTGAAAACAAACATGTGTACACAAGTCCATGACCAAGAAACAAAAGGAAGCTTTATGAAATTAAATCCGCAGCACACAGCCCATTACTCTTAGGCCTTTTATCACAGGCGTGTTTGCTGAACAGCATCAGAATCGCACCGTGCTTTGGCAAATGAGGCCTGTGATGCACTGTGACACGACATAGTTTATCTTGCTGGTGACGGGCCACTAGGATGAACACCACACAGGGCAAAGCTCATAAACTGGGTCTGCAGGGATATCACCAAGCCGTGCAGTACCTCCTGCCCTGCTTCCCCACCTCCCCGGGGGAGGGAGCTTTTCCTGCTTCTGGCTTTGCCCAATCCACCATCCGGTCCAGGCTGCTGGGAATGGACTTTCTGAGGCTTAGTCATTTCCCCCTTAATTTCAAGACCAGCTCAAGGCATCAGGGAATATAGCTCAGGGTTGGAGACCCAATAGAGAGCAGTGCTAGTGAGCATGGGCTCCAGGGACCAGTGGGTTTGAGTCCAAACTTCACTGCCACTGGACTGCATGACCTGTAGCCTCAGTGACTTCATCTAAGAAGTGGGGATGACAGGGTTCTGGGTTTTGAGGAGTAACTAACATTCACACAAAGGGCTTTGCACTGGTCTGGTACAGAGTAAGGGCTCAAAGAATGGTCGCTACTCTTTCCCTTGTTATTAGATCCACATTTGTTGAAAAGCCACTAACAGGGAAGATGGTGGGAAGGGAAAAGAATGATGGGCGAATCTGCGGGTCTGTTCCTCTCTTCCTCCGGCCCTCTCACTAGACAAGCCTGGGTGTTCTAAACACAGTCTCTTGTATTTGTTTGTGTTTCTAGATTTTCTTCCAATTTGGGGTCAATTGATTCCCATCAGGAACAGATGCCTGTTACCATTTCCTTCTGCATGTTTGTTTAGGAAAAAATCAATTGTTGTGTTCAATATAATCCAATCTATTTGCTCCCTGGGAGTCTCCATGCTCTGTCAAGAATGGTTCTCTCCCATCCCCCTAGCCCTGCTAACACATTTTATTTTATTTATTTTTTGCCTGGTAGGATATTGATTCTTGGAAGTTCTCTGGGTTTCCAGTTGGCAAACCTGGTCCTCAAGTCTGTGCAGCTATGCAGTGTTGAACATGGTGGCCTTGCCCCTCTACCAAGACACTCCTGTCCCTAGGAGGATGGGACTGGTTGCTGGGTTTTTCTTCCTTCTGAGTCCCTCACCACTCCCCCAAAAAGGAGGGAGTCTGGTCCTAGAAAATGGACCACACGTGGGGATATAGAATAGGAATGGGGAAGAAGCTGTGGGGGTGAATGGGGATGGAGTCCCTGCATGACCTAGTGCTGGCTTCCCTGGGGGCGGGCACGTGTACTGAGATGCTGGGAAGCTGGTGTGCACAGCTGGAGTTAATAGGAGGCTCACCTCAGAAATGCTGCTGGAAATGAAGATTCTAAGAATCTGCCACATCAGAGCCACCTGAAGTTTAGGTCAGGCCGGGTCTGATGGGCTGTGACATCTCATTCTTGCCCAGTCTCTCAACTTTCCTCATGGACTGAGGTGGGGCACAGACTCCTCTGAGCTGCTCAAGGTCCTGTGTCACCAGAGATCTGCAGCTGGACAATGCCACCCACCTTGGCAGGCTGGGGAAGCCATAATGTGGATCCTGCTGAGGCAGCTCTGCAGGTTCTGCCCTCCTTTCACGTCTCCGTAGCCCACTGTGAGCTTGTGTGCTTCCAGCTTCTCTACCCTGGCGACTGCCACGTCTAGAAGTCAACCTGGGACTTTGGGGGACAGGTGCCTCAAGTTGCCAGGATCGGTGATCCCTCAGACCAGGCCAGACCCCTCCTATCATTCACCTGCCCTTATTGACAAGCTGTGTGCCAGGCCCTGCCCTTCTCCAGTTCCTCTCAATTTTGGCAAGAGAGGGTCAATAGCCAAGGGTCACATCTTTCTTGTCTTCTCTTGGGTCATCCCTGCCCACCCACCTGGAAAGTCCACATGGGACTGAGAGGTGGGGCATGGTGGGAGAAGGCCCTTCAGCAGTATTGGCCCCCAGAGCATGCTCTGGCTTGGGAGCTTTGCAATTATAGACTCCTTCCTCCATCTGGAATGTTCTTCACCCAAGTCTCTACACAGCTCACTCATTCACTTCATCTTGGCTAAATATCACTGATCTACACCTTCTTCACTATGCCCTGACCCTGTTAGTGGGGGATGGGTGCCTGCGGGGATGGCATGAGGATTCAGGTGCTTCCAGGGCATGGCATCCTGGGTGTCCCTGGAGGAGAGTGTACGAAGCCAGGATGAGGAAAGCCCTGTGGGGATAATCAGGATGAGACCTGCAGGACGAGGAAGAGTAGTGGGAGAAGGATGAGCAGGGCAGGGTGCTACAGACAGCAGGAATGGCTAGTGGCCAGCATATCTGGATATCTGGAGGTCTGAGAAGGCCAGTGGCTGGAGGTTGTCAGCTGGGGGACAGCGAGACAAAGCAGTGTGGGACAGGGCAGTGGGGCAACTCAGGCAGGACTCCTGGGGCTGTGGGCAAGTGTGGGAGCCAGAGTAGGGGTGTCAGGTCCTGCAGCTCTCAGTTCCAAGCTCCTTTATTTCCTTAACTGAGGGCTTCCCTGTACCAGGTGGCTGCTGGCCACTGGGGTTCTGAGCAAATGCAGGAGGAGTGCCTGGAAGAGAATCTTAAATCCTTCTTCACCCCAGGAGCAGCTGTATTAAAATGAGTCACAAGAGAGGAATTTGTCTAAAATCAAATCATGAAGTCATTTGTCCAGTATTTCTGATCTTCTCTAGGGTCTCCCAGCAATCCCTGCCATGGTCACCTGAATCCCACAGGGCTGGGGGCCAGTGGAGCGGGGATGGGGGAACATCCTTCCCTGCCCTCTTCCAGCCCCAGAGGCAGATGCCTCCAAATCTGTGGCTTCCAGCTCCACATGAAGGTGAGCTTTCCTCCCCGAGGCAGGCCTTGGCCTGGGGGGAGTCCACCAAATTCCAGTTTTAGGTTTTTCTTCACAAAGTTCTCAGTTTCACTGTGGGTCAGACAGGAGTAGCTTACCCACATGAAGCACTGGGTACCCGTGACTCTGCTGGATGTAGTCTTTAGCTAGAGGCTCCCTGCTCCGCTTTCAGTTCCAAACAGTTGTCTTGTCATAAAATAAATATATGTCCATCAAAGAGCACTTGGAAAGCACTTATGAGTATAAGTAGAAATAAATAAATATAATAAATCATCCACAATCTATCTCCCAAAGGCGGCTGCTGTCAACACACTGCTGGCCAGAGGTTAAGCCATCCCCTCTGCTCAAGTGATGAGGGGCCCATTAGCACAATGAGCTCGTGCACGTGGGCGGCTGGCCTGCTGCATGTGGACTCCGAGGCCTGGGCTCCCTAGCTTCTATTTTCTGACTTTTTTTCCTGCCCTTCTCAAGTTCCTCTCAATTTTGGCAAGAGAGGGTCAATAGCCAAGGGTCACATCTTTCTTGTCTTCTCTTGGGTCATCCCTGCCCACCCACCTGGAAAGTCCACATGGGACTGAGAGGTGGGGCATGGTGGGAGAAGGCCCTTCAGCAGTATTGGCCCCCAGAGCATGCTCTGGCTTGGGAGCTTTGCAATTATAGACTCCTTCCTCCATCTGGAATGTTCTTCACCCAAGTCTCTACACAGCTCACTCATTCACTTCATCTTGGCTAAATATCACTGATCTACATCTTCTTCACTATGCCCTGACCCTGTTAGTGGGGGATGGGTGCCTGCGGGGATGGCATGTGGTCTTTCTGGACCAGGGCAGGGTCCAATCTTAGCCTTGGCCTCAGCAGACTTGGCTCCTCCAGGGGGATGTTCCCTGGAGGGTATGCATCATGGGCTTGGGGACCCCAACACCCCTCCCTAGTGCTCCATAGATGTTGACCAGCCTGGTGTTCAGAATAAAATGGGCAACCCGTGGTGTAAAGGCTTAAACTGAGGTCCAGGTACTGTTGCCAGGGACCCTCTGGTCCAGCCTGGGGGAGGGCAGACTCAAATACAGTTAAATGTGCCCACTGATGGATCCAGGGGTGGCATGACTTTACAATGATTTGAGGTCTGTGCCTTGTCATAATAGACTGCTGTGTCTATCTGAGACCAACAATTAGAGACGATTGTCACAGGCTGAACAAAGCACTGACAAGGGAGTCAGGAGACCATTGGACTTGGACTGGCTGTGAGGCCCTAGGCCCCTCACCACCTTACCAGGTCATTACATAAAGAAAAGGTGAGAGGAAGTGTCCCTGTGGCCAGCCATAACCGAGGACTCTCTCTCTTTCTCTCTTCCTCTCCCTCTCTCTCTCTGTGGCAATGGGTATAGAACCAAGGCCTCATGCACGCTACATGAGCTATACTCCCTGTCCCCTTTTATTTCCATATTTTCATAGGTACATTATAATTTTACATAATAATGGGGTTCGCTGTTTCATATTCATACATGCACATGATATAACAATATAATATGGTCAATAGCATTCCC